CCCCAAAACCCCAAAACCCCACAGGTAAAGAATTATTTGTTAATATGAAATTTACAATACAAATAAAAACCCTCTAATTTTAATATATATATATATAACATTTATAATAGCAGAAAGAAATTATTAATGCAAAGTTAGATATTTAGATTAGGAAAAATCCTAAATAAGTATATATTCATAGATGTTTTAGGTTGTAACGGATTGATGGAATCTAAAGCATTGTTATGGAAAACCAACAAGCAAACTAGAATTTTCTTAATTAAAATGCTCAAGCAAATTAATGCAAATTTAAGAAAAAGGTATGCTAAAGGAAGAGTTTCTGTGAAAATTTGCCGACGAGTTACATATAATCACATTATTCAAGAGCCCAGAAAATGTTTTTCTCATATTAATATTGAAGGGGAACCCCCAGATCTAGAAAATTATTTGACTAAACACAATTTGATACTAAATAGAATCCATCTAGATTCTCAGTTCATTAATCTTAATGAATTCTTGTTAATATAGAAGTTGCATATTTAAGATTAGGCAATAATCAATCTTTACTTATTAAGATATTTGACATCTCTGAAGAGTTTATCTATTTAAATGAATCAAGAGCATTTAGAAGATAAAATTAAGACTTAGATTATTATACCATAAAGCTTAACATCTCTCAAATTAATAAAGCCAGGAGCAAGATTACTATAAATATTTTTCTTGGAAACTAAGCCTTATTTTATCAAGAAATTAGTAATAATAGAAGGAGATTTTGCTTTATTCAAATAATGTGCTATCGATGAATTTATCAATAATTCAGAGATATAAGATTTGAGAATTCATAGAAATAAAAACTTTGATATTAACGAACTTTTAATCAATATTACTCAGTAAAAAATTAAAGTTCTATCTTTAATTAGTGAAAGGAAAAATCCATTTGGTTATGAAGAATTTGGTTCTATAACTGAAAATATGATGCAATTTAATTTAAAACCAGGAATTTAGACATTTCTTTCTGGCAGAAGGCTCAAGTACTTGGAATTAAAAATGGCACTGCAATCATTTGTATAATAAGTCATTCTTAACATGCTAAATTGCATTTCTTAATCAGTAGAGCATGTTAAACTAACTGTAGAGTGTAAAGGAAGCACAATGATAAATGCAATTTTAGAATATAGATTTACTTTGAGACCAGAATACTTTATTCCATTTTCAGAATTCAAACAAAGCATTACTTAATCTTTAGAAGTAGAATTTTAGGCATATAACGATAACTCAGAATACTTTATCAAGTAATATCTTGTATAAACATTTCCAAATCTAAAGGCGCTAAAGATAACCTACGGAACGACTTAAGGAAACTTAAAAATAGGATACCATCCAGATGTATCAGGCAAGTTTAGTGAGCAGAGTAAGATTGGAATACTCCAAAATAATTCAATTAAATTATTAGAAAAATTCAACATTTTCGACTAACATAATCCAAACAACATTGCTGAGATAAATTTAAGTAATTTGTAGATAAGCATGAATGATGTAAAATAAGTGCTAAAAAATTTACATCAATCAATTAACAAGATGAAATCTATAAATATATAAGTTGACCTCAAAAACTATAATGCAATCGAATAATCTGTCTTTTCTAACGTTGATGCTAATAGTGAAATGGAGGAATTAAAATATGATGAATTTGAATATTCAGAGGATTTTTGTGAACATTCAAGTAAAGGTAACAAGGGAAAAATTTTAACTCAAAAATAATAAGCAAAAATCAATTAACAGTAAATTTTTGAGCTTTTGTCTAAGTTTAGATATTTAAAAATCTTAAAAATAAATATCAGGATATTTAATCCTATTGCAGATTCGATTGATTAATTTGCAGCTTCTTGCTTGGCTAATTTAAATAAATTGAAAGTTCTTAATTTGATTTTAGATCATCAGATAGCTCCAAACAATAAGCTAATTTCTCTTAGAAACCTTAGTTTGCAATTATCTTAATAAAAAAGTAATGTAGATAAGTTAGCATTAGATATAAGACTTTCAAAAGAATAAATTTAGCGGCAAATAGTAATTGATTATAAGGGATTTTTAGATCGAAGAGAATAATTATTAGGAGTAAGAATCAAGGATTGGGGATTTAATAAAGCCTAGTTTGATAATCATCAATTTGTATATGTGGATGATTATTTTGATTGAGTTATTTATTTAGAAACATGCTTATTAAGAATCACATTAATTTCTGAGAAATTTTGAGATCAAAGTTTATTCAATATAGAATAAAACATTAAATAAGCTATATATTCACTTTTTTTTAATTTAATTTGATAAACTTATTGATGTTTAAGGATAATGAATCTCGGGGTTTTGGGGTTTTGGGGTTTTGGGG